GATTGTTTATCCCACCTATCTTATCTAGATAGACCTGCAGAGATAATAATATGCACAAAAAATAAGACAGAGCAAAACAAAGCAACAAAAGAAAACAAACAACAACAACAACAAAAACAAAGACCCAAAAAAGCCTGCAAATCGGTCAGTCCATTTGTTGACCTTTAGGAGTGTTCTCCTCAAGTCTGATAGGGCGCCACGCCCTGGCCCCAAAGTTTATTTTTGGCATTCCCTGGGGACTTCATTGCTCTGCTCCCCTTGCTGGTCTGTTGCACACCCTTAGTGTTTCACCTCAGCGTGGTGGGGTCAGATCGGCCTCAATTTCCACACTGTGTCTCCAGTGTTGTCCCCCATAGGGCTATTGGTCAGTGAGGGATGTCGTGTCTGATAGTGGGGCTGACCCTATGGTCCTCTCTGTGCTTTGGTTGCTCTGAGCAGGAATATCATCCTAGGGCTTGGTTGGCCAGGGTGTGCTCCACTCTCTCTTCCTCCACCTTCATTTGCTCCTGTATGCTCTGATCAGACATGTCCCTCTCCCGCAGCTGTAGTTTTAGTGCTGCCCTCTGAAGTGAATTCTTCTGCGGGGAGGGGGTGCTGTCCACATAGTTGGGATTGGGGCCGGCCCCTCAGACCTCTCTATTGGTTCCCTGCTTCATGCAGGTATGTTGCATCCACATCTTGGAGCACCGGGTTGAAGCCTAGACTGAACTCTTAACAGGAGTGGAAATTTTCATCTTTCTCCCGGTTAAAGGACCAGGGACCAGAGATTTAAAGATGCGATTTAGAATATCCACGATCTGCCTAATCTCAAATGACAGTGTGTGCTTAAAGGAGGAAGGAATATTCCATTCATTCTTATTTCTAATGGTTTCCAGTTCTCTGTTTTCAATTGTCATATATTTATCTTAGAACTATCCGAATGAATGACTTATGAAAGTAAAATACCCCAAAGTTAGTTGTAAAAAATATATTCCTTGAACTTATAGGAACAGGAAGTACAATAAGGATTGCAGAGGGGGAGGGTACAGTGGCAAGGAGGATAAAAGGGAGATGATGTTAAGGAGTCCAGGAAGGAAAAGAATGTCTTGAAACTGATTGTGGCAGCAATTGTACAATATTGTTTGATGGGATTGAACTATGGAATGATACATGTATTAACTTACAATTAAAAATAAATTTTAAAAAAAGATTAAACAAGGTAATGCCTGTAGAGTGTGGGATATATATACACACACACACACACACACACACACACGTGTATATATATATATTTTGACATATACCTTCCATCACTCATTCAAGATTCATAAAACAAACACTGTGGAAACTACTAGTTAAGATATATGAACCATACAAACCTGTAATATTGCTTTTAAGGGTAACAGCGAAATGTCAAATTGAAAACTCCTGTCTCTTGGATAACTTTCAGAAAGGCTTTCTTCAGAGGACATGAAATATTCCCCAGGGGTTAATTTTGATTTTGACCTGATTTTCCATTTTTTCAGTAGAATTTCATGTTTTAGCAACTGCAATGAAAATAATAATAAATTGTTACAAGGGTTATATTAAATTATATACCTAAAGTACAATGAAATAAAAATGCACACTACAAGCACAGTGATAGCACTAATTACACAATACAAATAATGATCGTTATTTACATAAATTATCATCCTCAATGTGTATGTTTAATATTCGCTGAGATAATTTCCAGTAATTGTCATAGAATACTGGAACAGGAAATCACCTGGGGGATGTGGTTCAGTCTCCTTTTTGACAGAGAAGGAAACTGAAGCTCTCCGGGTCATGTTCCTGTCATGGAAGAACTGGTATTGGAGACATGGGAGAGAGCTGGTTCACAGAGCTAACAACAAAGGAGAACCACACAGAATGGGTGGACTGACTTGACTTATTAAACAGCAAATCCCCATTTTACTTTGCACACATTCCTGAAAACTTCCTAATCTACAGAAAAGTCCTAAGGAACAATATTTCACACACACACAATGTTGGTGAGGTGTGTGTGTGTGTGTGTGTGTGTGTGTGTGCATCACAGACTAGATGCATTTATGAGAAGGCTTCAAGAGCTTTGTGGGAGTGAGTTTTTTCACAAACTTTTTGAAACTCACTCGTATTTATGAATCGACTATTACGTGTACAAAAACCGTAGCCTCCAGAATGGATTGCAACCCAGTGTAAGAACAGCAACTGGAGCCCCGTGTAGTGTTAGCGGAGTGATGGACAAAGCAACAGAAAGAATCCCGTGCGTGGAAACCACAGTGTCCTTGTATGCTGTAGCTGTTGAACTGGAACCTAAGGGAAATAAGTGTAGACGCTTAGAGAACGGGAAGTCTTGAGAAAAAGAGTGAGTGTTTTTAATTACTCACTGACAAGAAGACAAAAATTACTTATAGAGTACCCTGTGACTTCCGAGATGAGCTCCTTCAGGAGAAGGCTGGACTGATTCTTCAGAGGGACTCAGTGTGAGCGTGTCTGGGACAACGCTGGCTGGAATCTGAATGTTTAAGACTCTGGCACAGTGGTTATGTGTTGGGCTGCTCATTGCAAGGGCAGCAGTTCAAAACCACTAGCCACTCCATGGGAGAAAGATGGATTTCTACTCCCATAGAGAGTGGCAGTCTCAGAAACTCACAGGGGTAGTTCCACCCTGTCCTACAGGGTTGCTATGAGTTGGTATCTACTTGATGGCATGAATTTGGTTTGGGGTTTATTTTTAAAGAATGAAAGACTATGGAATGATTGGAAGGACTCAGCTAGTGTGGGAAGAGGAATTCTGGAAAGAATAATAGAAATTTAAAATAATTTTTGTTGTGTTTTGTTTCCCAAATGACCCTTTCACGGGAGTTGCCCGATTCACAACAGCAGCAAAATGACAGTTATGAAGCAGTAACAAAAATAATGTTATGGTTGGGGGGTCACCACCACATGAGGAACTGTATTAAAGGGTCATGGCATGCTCTCCTCCGTGTCCACAGAAAGCCTTCGGTATAATTTTGCATTGGTTAGTAATGCTTTAAAAGTTAGAATCAGAAGAGTTCTGCTAGGGAGGATAGAGTGTAGACTATTGATGGCTAAATCAGGCTTCAAGTTGAAAAGGGATCTCACCTGTTTAACACTAGTTTATGAGGTCAAATAAGTAAATCCTGCTTGTTGAAAGAATTAAAAATAGAGGATCAGGAACAAAAATCCCAGGAAATAATAGCCCTTGGCTTGAATCCAACCACATCTCAGATAGGTATCCTGATCCAGATGCTATATTTTAAGAGATGTGCAATGCATCAAATAAGGGGGAGGAAGGGAGAAACGGGGAACCGATTGCAATGATCGATGCATAACCCATCCACCCCAGGGGGATGAACAACAGAAACCTGGGTGAAGGGAGACAGCAGTCGGTGTAAGATGTGAAAACAATAAGAATTTATAATTTATCAAGGGGTCATGAGGTGGTGGGTGTAGGGAATAAAGAGGAGCTGATGCCAAGAGCTCAAACAGAAAGTAAATGTGTAGAAAATGATGATGGCCACATATGTACAAATATGCTTGGTCCAATTATGTATGAAATGTCATAAGAGCTGTACAAGCCCCCAATAACATGATTTTTTTAATGCATCAAATAAAATGTACATTCCATTCAGATCAGGTTGTTGAAAGAAGGGGAGGAAGGAGGAGAAGAAAAGGAAGATGGCAAGTGACCAATTCCATTCCGAAGAGAGTGTCCGGAGAGTTTTGACTCTAGAAATCACAATCTTTAAAACATTATTAAAGCAAGGAAATGTCTTTTGCTTAGAAAAGACTCTCCAGGGCTAAAAGCAATCACTATCTTTAAATATTTAAAGCAACATTATGAAAAAGAGGCATCAGATTTATTCTGTAATGTTCCACAGGCTGGTGCTATAATCTGTAGGGAGAAGTTACCCAAATGCAGCTCCAGGAACAAAATGAAGGATGCTTAGCACTAGTGCTGCTAAGTAAAGATTTCCAATTCCAGATGAGATAGCTAGTTAGCATCGGCTGGTGTGTCCTCCCCAGAACATAAAACTGGATCCCATGGGTGAGCTGAAGAGTCTGGTGAGTCACATGTTCAAACAGAACAACTTAGACCCAACTTCTGAGACACCTCTCTCTCCTCCAAGGAGAGATCAAAGCTGTATGAGACCATATAAAGCTAACAGAAATGATAGCTTGGGACTTGAGAAAGAGAAAACAGTCAGGAGTTGCTTGGGACAGAGTCATTTTCTCTACCACGTGAGCTTGAGAAAGCCCAAATCCATAGGAGACAATGGGACAGGTGAGTGCCGGTGAGAACAGGAAGCTAGGCTTCGGTTCTATTAATAGATGACAGCTGCAGCTTTGCTAACTATGTGTTCAGAGCGCAACACAGAAGAATAAGGAAAAAGAACCAGACACATACTATCACACATGAATTAGGAACAGCGAAACAAACATGAATTAGGAGCAGCAACTGTGAAAGCAAATTAAGATAGTGACCATCAAAAAAATATGATTCCTGAAACAAAGAAGTCAGTGAATGAGCTGAAGAATAGGAATTGGCACAACCAACAGGGGGAAATAGTGATGTGGAAGACTGTGCTAGGGAATTCTCTTAGAAAGCATTAAAGATGAATAATAAAGAGAAGGGGAAAGCAATATGGAACTCAGCATCTGACTAAATTTTGCAGGGGGCGGGAGACAAGGGATTGATCCTGCCCTACAAAGAACAACTACGAAACAGTTGGGGGTGGGTGGGTAATGTCTTCCTATCCCTCTCTGTCATTTGTCCCAGGAGTCCCAGTGGCGACGTGGGCACACGTTGGTCTGTTCATCACAAGGTCAGCAGTTGGAGACCAGTAGCTGCTCTGCAGGAGAAAGAGGAAACTTTCTATTCTTGGAAGGAATGACTGTCTGGGAAACCCACAGGGCAGTTCTACTCTGACCTATAAGGCCCCTATGGGTCAGTATTGACTCAAGGCAGTGATGTCGAGTGTTTGGGTTTTTGATTTTTAGGGGTTTGGGGGTCATTTATCCCAATTTGTAATTCAAAGAACATTGAAAAAAATCATTTCCTACTCAATAATATAACTACAAAACAAAAAAGATACAGCATGGTAGGAAATACTCTGAACCTTCTCCAAAAACATTAGCAACAATATACTACTAGCTCAAATAAATGAGAGATAGCTCTTGGAGAAGTCTGTTGGGTTCTGTTTCAATCGATTTAACTCTTAATGGACATCTCAGTTAAGAATAATAACCCCTCTGAACCGATTACATGGAACTGTGTGTGACCTCCTCCCTGGGGGACAGACAACCAAAAAGTGGATGAAGGGAGACGTCGGACAGGTCAAGATATGACTAAATACCCATTTATAAACTATCAAGGGCTCATGCGGGAGGGGGGAGCGGGGAGGGAGGGGAAAAATGAGGACCTAATGTCGGGGGTTTAAATGGAGAGAAAATGTTTTGAGAAACGATGTACAAATGCGCTTTACACAATTGATGTGTGTATGGATTGGGATAACAGTTGTATGAGCCCCTAATAAAATGTTAAAAAAGAAAAAAAAAAGAATAATAACCCCTCTAATATAGCAATTTAATAATTTCTAAAAAATTTGTGTTAAAATTGTAACTTATTAAATCAGCTCTTGAAAAAGGATAAGTAGCAACTTAATCTTATGCAGAAAAGGAACAAACTTATTCAGACTTTATCATTTATTTCTCTATTATGAACATATCTAGTAGTTTCTCTTCCACTTTAGATAGGTATATCCATTTAAATATCCTCAAATAAGAAATAAATGCTTAGTTTCTTTAAGAATAAATTTAAATTAAATGTTAAAAGATTTTTCTTGATCGTGTCAGCAAACAACAGAATTTATTAGGAAACATTTGAATGCTGACATGAAATTTTAATTACTGAGTGAAGCAACAAAACTGCCCCTAAAAGCACTCAGGATTGTAGTGTTTTCCACACTGCTATTGCCAGAGGCAATGCAACTTGACATTATTAGTTCCCAATGCGCCATACCAGGTCATCTTCTCTCTCTTTATTCTTGCGTCTCGCTTTATCCCTCCATTTTGTTAGGGTTTTTCTTAGCTTGTGATTATGAAATGTCTCTTTGATCTTCAAGAGTATCTCTAAAGGAAATTTAGTACATGACCATAAATACTCCAAACTGTTTCTGAAAACCAAAATGTTTTCATATCTCATCATATGTTTACTATGAATCAAGGTTATGGCTAATAGTTTTGGCTTGGCTATCATCACATTTAAAATAAATTACTTTGGTCAGCATTTAGATTATGCATAACTTGTAAATATCCCTTTGTGGTAGAAATTAGGACATAAGAGAAGTGGCAAAACTCACTCACTGCCGTTGGGATGATTCTAAAGTATAGCAACCCTATGTGACAGAATTGAACTGCCCTGTGGGTTTCCGAGACTGTAATTCTCTACAAGAGCAGAAGGCCTCTCCATCTTTCTGCTTCAGAGCTGGAGGTGGTTTTGAACTGCTGACTTCACAGTTGGCAGCTCAACGAATCACAGTATGCTACCAGGTTCCTTTATACCATTTCCTTTTTTAACAGTTCAGTTATTTACAAAATCCCAAGCATGTATATAAAAACTATATTCTATCTACTCGTGTATAAGCTGAGTTTTTCAGCACATTTTTAATGTGGTTTTTGAGGTAAATTAGGTGCATCGGCTTATACTCGAGTATATACGGTAATCATGTTGTAGTTACTATTCAGATCTAATGCCTTTTAATGTAATTTAATACCCTATGATTAAATAGACTGCTCTGTGCTGTGTTAACTAGCTGTCTAGCTAAAGCTCAAAAACAGAGGCCAGGCCAGGAAAGAGCATATGTATGTGGGGGTAACCCACCCCCCAAAAAATGGAATTTTTTAAAGCTATGTAAATCTTTTTGCAAAACAACCTTATCACCTTCAAAGTAATCCCCATTACACTTCATAGATTTGTCAAATCTGTGATTCCATTCTTGGAAATGTTTTCAAACTCATCTGTTTGGATGACTGACTCCTCCTTCTTGTTTTTTCTTCACCTCTTCTACATCATCAAATCGCTGTCCTTTCATGTTCTTCTTCATTCTCGGAAACAAAAAGAAGTCGCACTGAAGAAGGAAGGTCAGATGAGTAAGGTGCATGGGGCAAGAAAGGCTTGGTGTTTTTTGCCAAAAATTGGTGCACTAAGATGCCTGTGTGAGCAGGTGCATTGGCATGGTGGCAAACCCAGTCCCCGATCTGCCACAAATCAGGCCTTTTTAGTTGCACACTGTTAGGCAATCCTTTTCAGAAACTCTAAATAGAAAACTTGATTAACAGTCTGACCTGGTGGAACAAACTCCAAATGCACTATCCCTCTCTCATCAAAATAAGAAATAAGCATCGTCTTGATCTTTGATTTCACTTGATGAGCTTTTTTTAGGGGGGGGGTGATGATGGTGTCTTCCACTGGCTTGATTGATGTTTGCTTTGGGGGCCATAAAAATAGCACCATGTCGCATCACCAGTAATGACCTTGGAAAAAAGTCTGGCTCACTTAGCAGCTGTTGTTTCAAAGCACGGCATGTTTCCACTTGCTCTTGTTCCTGGTCAGTCAGCACTCGAGGCACAAATTTCTCAGTGACCCTTCTCATTCCCAAGTCTTCCATTAAAATCAGCTGACCTGAGCTCCAAGATAGCCCAGATAACTTCCCAATCTCTTCAATGGTCCATTGTCAGTCTTCGAGCACAAGTGTACAAATTGTGTTGACATTTTTGTCCATTCGGAAAGTTGACAGACATCCAGACTGAGGTTTGTCATTAAGAGACATTTCACCTTTTTTTGAAACAAGAAAACTACCCATGCACTTGAGTTTTTCCCAAAGCTGTCCTTGTAATCTGTGTTCAATATCACAACAGTTCCTGTGGCATTTTGCCCGAGCAGGAAACAAAATTTCTAAGCCTCACACTGTTCTCTTAAATTGGCTAACACACAAAAAAGAGATTATAGTGAAAGTGCTTTTATTAAAAAATTCACTGTGACCAGAGAGAATCTTCCCAGGTGATGCCCTTGGGTGCACTCACTTAGATTGAGTTGCTGGATGCTCACCTAGTGAAGGAAGGGGTGGGAAGATGATGTGTACTACAAAAGCTCCACCTGGTGGAACATTTTTCCGTTGAGGGGGTGGATAACCCCTCGTAAGAAGTCAATAAAAAACATGGAAACTGTACTGAACAAAATATCAAAATGCAAAGTCATTTTTCTCAACATCTCCTTTATACACTTCTTTCAATCTTTCTAATCCTCCCACCACCAAATAAATAAAAATACCTGCCTTCTACAATTTACACCACATCAAAACAGTAATTTTGGAATCTTCCAGGAACCCAGGGCATTCTGAGTTTGAAGAACAAAAAGAAATCTCAAGCGGCACGGTCAGACTGTAGGGTAATGGGTACGGTTTCCTGAGGAAAACATTACCACAACAGCCCTTGCTACCCCGGATGAGTGAGCAGGTGCATTGTCATTATTTGGGGGGACAGGAGCCCTAACACAACCTTCCTAGCCTTTCTTTCACCAAGGCAGTTTTCAATCTTCTTAAAACATCTTTATAATCAGTCCCTTGGACTGTCCTTTGGACAAAGGACAAAAGCATCTCTCACGATTACCATTTGGGGATCCCTAAAAGCAAATGCCACAACCTTTGGAGCGAATGTCTCTGCCTTGAAGTAACCTGGTTCCACAGATGCCCTCAGAGCCTCCTGTCTGGACAGGACCTTTACCTGAGGCCACCTCATGAGACTACGGCAAATGAGTACTTAGAGAACTTGCCTGCAGCAATCTACTGATCACAGAGATGTATTGAAACACGCTTTGTCTGGAATACATTTGTGCATGCGTGAATTGGAACCAAATCACAAGACTTTCTGACTTACCATCATGCAACATACCAGCTGTCTGTTTTGTAAAAAAATCATAATATTCCTTTAGAGTTATGCTTATCTACACACATCTACATGTAGCATTTGACTTTAAGTATGTCTTTTAAACTAAAATATAATTCTTTCAGACAAGTCTCATGAAATATTTTTAACTCAGCAGATCTACCTTCATTTTGTGACAATTATCTAAACATAAAGATGTTTTTTCATGTACATACTATGTGTAATTGAATTGGCTGAGACCGCGAATGAGCTGGTCCAAAAATGAATTGCTACAAATTTACCTGTAAGTTTTTGTTGCTGTTGTTCCACATGTAGGTGCCAGTTGCAGAGTACCCCTCTCTGAAGTCTAAGATTGTAATGCTTCTCTGCTTTTGCCATCTTTTGAACTGTAACCTCATTTTCACTTTCATGAAGTAGTGTTGCGTGTTTCCAAATGCTATAGACAGAAAATAAAGAAGAAGAGCATTTGGCATTAGGGTAACACATGGCTAAATAAATTGGATGGGACCAGTGATACTTCCTTTGTCCCCTCAAAAATCACAGTATAGAAAGAAATGCCTACAGATTAAATGTCTTCAACAATTCCTGGTGGTTATAAAGGAAGTCAGAAATGAGACAGCAGACATATTTCTCTTTAGACAAGAGAAAGAAATCACAGGAAAAAAACTTATGCTATCATAAAGTCAATTTAACCAGACTGGTCTCTCTAGAATATGCCTTTAAAATATTTATTTCAGAAAACCAAGAAATTGTAGTACAGTGTTTGAAACTTCATGAAAGTACGTTAGTAATCCAAAAGCAGGCTTTGGTCTTCTGGACTGCTGAGTGTAGGACAGCACCAACAGTCTGTACTCATTCCACTCAAAAGAGACACTTGACACCCTACAGAACGACCTTGGTAAGTTACAAGAAACACAACGAAATTCATTTCAGTACCACGATTTCACATGAAATTTTACATTAAACTAATAGTTCAGGCTTTACATAATCTGGATTAGCAAACATTTACAAATAAATGCCAATGATCAATGGTAATTGCCATTTTAAAAATAGCAAATCACATCTTTTATTTAATTTTTGAGAAATATCAAAGAAAGTTTTATTTTTGGTTGCCCAAACCCAAATTGGATCAAGTATGTGTAATTGCTTCCTTGACCCAAGAAGGTTATGATCCAGAAAGTATATTTTCTTCACAGTTCTGATAAATTGGGCCCCTTGTGGTTCTTAAGCCGTACAGATCCGAAGCAATCTCAAAGCAGTTCTAGAAATGAGTCAAAGCTGGTTGGGTAATCTGTGAGCTTTCCCCTTTCCCTGTAATCGAATCTTTATATTTTAATGAGATTATTTATTGTTGCTGTTGTTAAGTGCCATCGAGTTGGCTCCCACCCATCACCACCCTGTGCACAATAGAAAGCAGCACTGCCCTGTCCTGTGCCATCCTCACAATTATTCCTTTACTTGGGCTCATTGTTGCAGTCACAGCGTCAATCCACCTCATTGACAGCCTTCCTCTCTCTCACTGGCCCTCTACTTTACCAAGCATGATGTCCAACTCCGGGGACTGGTCTCTCCTGACAACATGTTCAAAGTATATAACACCAAGTCTCGCCATCCTTGCCTCAAAGAGCACATTGGCTCTACTGGCTCCACGACAACTGTGTTGGTTCTTTGGGCAGTGTGTGGTGCTTTCGAGATTCTTCTTCAGCTCCACAATTCAAGAGCATCAATTCTTCCTGAGTCTTTTTTCTGTCATTTCTTTATCTTGTCTAAAATGAAATATAAGACTATTGTCTAATTTCAAATTTCCTCTATAACCACTAGGAACTGTTGAAGACATAATTAAATTTGTAGACAAATATTTTCATGCTGTGGTTTTAGAGGGGCAAAGGAAGTATAACTGCTCCCATCCAATTTATTTCGCCATGTGTTTCCCTAATGCCAAAATGCTATTCGAAATCCTTATTCCATGTCCAACTTTCACAAGCATAGGAGGCCATGGAAAATACCATGGCTTGGATTAGGTCCATCTTAGTCCTCAAAGTAACATCCTTGCTTTTCAAAACTCAAGAGGTCTTGTGCTGCAGATTTAGCCAAGGCAAAGCATCTTTGGATCTCTGGACTGCTACTTCCATGAGCATTGATTGTGGATCCAAGCAAGACAAAATTCTGGACAGCTTCAATCTTTTCTTCATTTATCATGATGTTACCTGAGGATTTCGGTCATCTTTACATTAAATTGTAATCCATACTTAAGGCTGTGACCCTGGATCTTCATCAGCAAGTGTTTTATGTCCTCCTCACTTTCAGCAAGAAAGATTGAGTCATCTGCATATAAAAGGTCCTTAATAAACCTTTGTCCAATCCAAATTTCAAGGTCACATTCTTCATAGACTTCAGCTTCTCTGCTGATATGCTCAGCATATAGACTGATTAAGTATCATGAGAGGATATAAGCCTGATGCACACCTTTCCTGGTTTTAAACCATGTACTATTCCCTTATTATGTTCCTCTAACTACCTCTTGTACAAGTCCCACATGAGCACAACGAAGTGTTAAGGAGCTCCCGTTCTTCTCAAGCTTATCCATACTTTGTTCTGATCCACAGAGTCAAATGCCTTGGCATAGTCAATAAAACATAAGTAAACATCTTTCTGGTATTCTCTGCTTTCAACCAAGAACCATCCTATGTCATCCATGATATCTCTTGTTCCAGGACTTCTGAATCTGGCCTAAACCTCTGCCAGCTCCTTGTCAATTTACTGCTACAATAACCATTGTTGGATGATCTTACTTGTGTATGATAGGATATCACAGCATATGATATCAATGACATTGTTTTATAGTTTCAGCATTCTGTTGGGCATTATTTGGAATGAGTAGAAATATGGATCTCTTCAAGTCAGTTGGCCAAGTAGCTGTCTTTCAAATTCGGTGGCATGGATACGTAAGAGCTCCCGGTGCTTCATCAGCTTGGTGGAACATTTCAGTTGGTGTTCCCGGAGCCTTGTTTTGGGCTAATGCTTTCAGTGCAGCTTGGGCTTCTTCCTTCAGTACCCTTGCTTCTTGCTCCTGAAATAGTGGAATGCTGACTGGTTCTTTTGGGTACAGTGACTTTGTATAATCCTTTCCAGCTTTTTTTTTTTTAATGTTTCCTGCTACATTCCATTTTTTCCCCTGTAGAATTTTTCAATATTTCAAGTCAAGGCTTGAATTTTTGTTTAGGTCTTTCCGTTTAAGATACACTGAGAGTGTTCTCCTTCTTGGTTTCCTAGGCCTACGTCATTATAATATTTTACCTTGAGTTCTTGAGCAGCCCTTTGAAATGTTCTAGTACGTGTTTTTACTTCATGATCTCGACTACTCTCCTTAGCTGCTCTATGGTGAAGAGCAACTTTCAGAGTCTCACTTTGATCTTTTCTTTCTTTCCCGTCTTAACGATCCTTTGCTTGCTTCATGAATAAGGCATTCTTGATATCCTCCTACAGCTCAGCAGGTCTTCTGTCATTAGTGTTCAATGAGTCTAATCTGTTTTTGAGATGTTTTCGAAATTCAGGTGGGATAGATTCAAGGTTATAGTTTGGCTCTCGTGAACTTGTTTTAATTTTCTTCAGCTTCAACCTGGACTTACATATGAATTTGTGCATGTCTGAACTGGAATCTTAGTAGCAACTTATTTTTTACTTACCCTCGTATATTCTAAATACTAACAACATATAGTGGACTAACACCAGGAATGTGTAAAATGAATAAAAGATTATGATCTGGTGAAAGAAATGCAAGATTAGTCTTACATTAGGAAATCAATTAATGTAATTCATTGCATTCACAGATCAAGGAAATAATTATATAATGGTCTCAATATATGCTGTAAGGGTACTTGATAAAAATCAGGAAGCTTCTATCACTTTAAAAACCAAACTTGGCAAATGGGGGGATCTTTAATATGTTAAACAAATCTATCACACACACATACACACACTACAACAAACATTCTCAATGGATTCCCTTTAAGTTCTGGATGCCTTCCATCCTCACATCCATTTAAGACTGTTGTCAAAGTGGTAGCAGCATACTAAGACAAGAAAAGACAACACAACAAATATCTAAAAGCAAAATCTGCTAATATTTTAGGAGGACATGGAAGATCATCTTCATGATATCACTGAGGAAAGGAATTATTACATAAGACAACAAAATTGTATTGAAGGAAACACTTCGTTCAAATTTAAAACTTCTGCTCATCAAAAAAATACTATAGAGGATTTGATAAACAAATCAGAGAGTAAGAAAGGAGATTTCTGCAAAAGATGGGCAAGACCTCCCAAGAAAAATGATGAAACTTTTAGTGAAAGGTGCTAAAGATAATAAAGACTAGTATTCTGAATATATAAAGAACTCTTGAAAATTAGTAAGGAAAATACAAACCGCCGAACAAAAATAAACTAGGTGAAAGAGCTGAACAAGCTCTTCATGAAAAAAAAATGAAATCCAAAATGTTACATAAAAATTCATTAGTGAACTGAGAATGCAAATTAAAACCACAAAGAGATACATCAAATATACACCAAACTGTCAAAACACACAGGTCTGACATGACCAATCTACTGATGAGAATGTGGAGCAACAAGAGTGCTGTCACTTAGAAAGAGTTTGAAACAGGTTAGGGAAACTGACGCTGTGCAGGTCTACAAGGCAGCAGTTCCACTCCGGATCACCTGTGGGGAAAGTGACGCTCATAGCAACGTTGTCTGTGATCTCGAGACAGAGCAGCTCATGTTCTTCCAGTGTCACAGTCAGGAACTATCCATAGTGCATTTTATGCTACTCTCAGCATTTTTTGTTCATTCTGAAACTCTGAGGAATTGTAGAACTTCTCTTCATTTTCTTTCTTTTTATTTGTATTTTAATAAATCATTTTACTGGGGGCTCTTACAGCTTTTATAACAATCCAGACATCAATTGTATTAAGCACATTTGTATATATGTCGCCATCATCATTTTCAAAATATTTTCTTTGTGTTTGAGCCCTTAGTATCCGCTCCTCTTTTTTCCCTCCCTCCCCACCCTAATGGACCCCTGATAAATTATAAATTATTATTATTTTCATATCTTATACCACCCACTGTCTCCCTTCACCCTTAGGGAAGGGGGGTGGAATTATACATTGGTCATTGTAGTCGGTTCCCCATTTCTCCCCTTTAGCCCCCACCTCCCCCTAGCCTCATGGTATCGCTACTCTCTTTGCTGTTCCTGAGGAGTTTATCTGTCCTGGATTCCATGTGGACAGAGCTCTTATCTCTACCATTGTACATGCTCCAATCTAGCCAGATTTGTAATGTAGAACTGGGGTCATGATAGTGGGGGACAGCAAATGTTAAAGAATTAGAGGAATGTTGTGTGTTCTGTTGGTGCTGTGCTATACCCTGTCTGTCTCA